AAACTTAACACGCGCTGGAAATGTCTTATTGTAGTGCATTATTGGCCACTTCCATTTTTTAATTCAGGCAAAGAGTCACCTATGTCTATTGCAAATTTCGTCTCAAAGAATCATTTATACGATTTTCTCGTAGCGTTCGGAAAAGGTCTGCTTCGAGAAAAATCGTACGTTTACGGCATACGCAGAACACAAATTCCAAGTATCAGATGTCTATGATGAGTGCTTCGGTCTGTGTTTTGACTCTGTTTGATCCAAAAATAATGGGTGACCCAGGCGCTGTGTCAACCAATCATAGCAGCTTGAACAGACTTTCAACAATGCATAAAAGGTTTAAGCTCACGGTAGATGAGCTGATTAAACTACATACAGCACTGCTAGAACCCCTATTAGCCAGCGACTCTCAGATATGCGCCAAATCCTTTTCCTCGAGTTTAAAGCAGACTTTACTGCCACAAAAAAAGTGCATCTACACCACTATTTCTAAAGTTTTCAGCCCCTCCATACATATGCGGAGGGGTTTTTGGCCGCCGGATCATACCGAAAGCACAACCTAAATGAGGAGGTACCTCGTCCAGTCCTAACTAAGCGAAGTTTTTGACAAACTGACTCCTTATTGTTTGATTTGTTATACTTTTGAGAAAAAAATGCGAGCTGCTGAGGTAGATATTCATACGAAGGGACAGTGGCAATAAGAGATATCTGTTTTTGTATAAAAAACTGTTGTGGCACATTCTCACTTGCCAAAAGGGTGCTGCTCTGGTTAAGCTAAAGCTCAAAAAAAGTTTACTTATATGTATATTTTTGTATGGAGATTTACAAATAAATTCGTAAGTAAATACCCACTATTTTTTCGGAGCTTAAATGACACACAGAAATTGGCAGTAGTGTTTTTAACGGTTAAAGGATTCATTTCAACCCTAATAAACTTTATTAACTTTATTTATTGGTCATTTGTGTAAGCAGTGGTTGCATACATACAACAAAATCAATATATATTTTTCACACGACTTTGAAGTAACCAATTCCTATCCGCTATAAGACTAAACTAAGCTAGCTAAAGCCTTTTAAAATATATCCAGCTGAGCTTAGCAATTGGATATTCATATGTTAATGCACATAAATCTGTTTATATGTTTGTAGAACAAAGCTGTAGAACTAACTTTCATTCGGTTTGATTTGCTGCACTTACAGCTTTAGCAAGGATTATCGCATATCCTTTGTTATGAATTTTTTTTTTTGCTTTTGATAACACAAAATTTGATTTTAAATATCACATTTATATATAAATATATAAATATTTTTTGCATATATATATATATATAAAAATTTAATTAATATATTTGTATGTATATATTTGTACCTAAAAAAGTTATTTTGTTTATTTAGGTCAGGCTATCCTGGCTGGCTGTCATGCCATACTTACGTAGACCTGCTGGTGCTCTGTAATGCCAGATCGAGGTTTGATTTATACTGAGCTGAAGTACTCAGCATATGGGATGTCAACTCTTTTTACACAGTTTCAGCGAGCCTTGGTATTAAATTTTGATATCTAATATGGTTCTTTGCACTGGGAAGCTCTTAAATATATAAGATAAGAGTAGTAAGATAAGAGTATCGCATAAGGCCGGTCGAAGTGGAGAAAATATTCTACTTCCATGTATGTCCTGTATGTCTCATCGCAGTCCATCCAGCTTGCATGCTATGTCAGTAGGTTGTGACCAGTCAATAGGCCTGTCGATAAGCCAACAAACGTATTGCAATTCCTTTGAGGCAGCGTGAGCAAAAAATCTACTTGTTTTTTTTCGCTGCTTTTACACGTGATCCTGCCACTCCTGCAAGCACAATTTCAATCCCATCTAAATCCATCTCTCAAGCATTTCGAAAATTTTATTGTGCATCAATTTTAGTGACTTGCACATTTCCCGTGTTGGCTCGGCAGTCAGCTCGTTGGCACTTATGCCAATCTAAGCAGCTTTTTCGTTACCTACAATGCCTTTGTGACCCTCGAATACCTTTTTTACTTCTTTGCTGCTGCAAAGCACATTCTGTGCAGTAATACGAAGTGGGTATATTGCCTTAATTCCTGCTTGACTATCCGTATGTATATGGTGATATCGAATGTAGTAATAATAAATCCATTAGTTTTCCATTAGTTGGTGTTATTTATCTTAGCATAATGAAATTACCTTCCAAATGGCGATTTGAAACCTTAAATCCCGAATAAAGCTTGCTGGTATATGGTCCTCCATTGAATTGCATATCGCGCTATGACCGTAGGTTCCTGTAGACAATTAACCAAAGGTCGTCAATTTTACAGCTGACTTCGCTACAAAGCTACTTTACTACAACGTCGATTGGTAGTAGTTTGAATAGTCTTTCTAAGTAGCCATTGGAATGGTTCTTTGGTTCTTAGCGTACCGGTTATGCAGTGGTCACTCAGACGCTGTGTTCGCTCTAATGGTTTCCAATAAGAGATTTTACTGGCAGCACATAACATGGTTATTAGCCACAGTTTGTGCCTCAAGAATTTTTTAATTAAATGCTTTTTACTTAAAAGTTGTTATAAAAAATTAATTCATTTAAAATTTTGGCTATCCTCGTCAAAGCAAAATAACTGCAAAATCGAGATTTACATGCAAATTTTTTTAACTTTAGCCTTTTACAACTTTTCTGACTTAATTTTTAATACATCACATCAAAATATATACAGATAATTCTTGTATATTAAATGCACTTTAAAATGGTTTCAACCATTTATTCAAAAGGTTTTTATTTTCATATATGTAGAAGCTACAATTTTGTTTAATTATTTCAGTTAAGAATTTCAGGTCACGTATACGCTGTGTAGTACTAAAAATGATTTTTTAGCATAAAATTTGGTTGAAATTTAAACTGTTGGAATTTTTTTGTACAACAAAATTAAAATAAACAAAATTTAAATTTTCATAAGCTTCAAAATTAGTCTTCTCTGATATAAATCGTGCAAGTTTTACCTTATCTCAGCGTCTTGTCTTTTACAATTTCCGTTTCACTACTCTCAATAGTGCTTCTCAACAGCATTCAATTCAATACCAATAAAATTGATTTATCAAATATGCCACTAGTGTGAAGCGACTGCTTTTATAACCCACAAAGGACGTAGTTGTCCTGTCAGAGGAATTCATTTATTTTATTTTTATTTCATTTTTATTTTACTTATCAGCAGTCATTCGTGTTGATTTGGCAGTCAAATATTTATTATAAATATTTTTGTATGTTAAACATACTTACATTACATATGTATAAATATATTTATATACTATAAGTCAAAATACATATAAAAATATATTTTAATGTTTCGATATTTATGTGCATGCTTATCATATGCTACGCATTACACCCTTCTTGCTTGAGTGTTTTTGTCAAAAAACTCCATCATTGAATGTTTTCCTTTCACGCTCTCTCTCTCTCTCTCTCTCTGTCTCTGTCTTCCTCTGTATTATTATTATTATTTCCTTTTCGAAAGATTTTACATTCATCATTTTCAATTTCAATAATTCTTATGATAAATTCTCAGCTCGTGCGTTGCATATGAAATGAGTTTAAATCATGAAAAAGCTAACTTGGCCGGAGGGGCGGCAAGCGACAGTGGAAATGTGACACCAAGCAGACGAGAGCGAAAGATGAGAACAAAAGTGGGCTGGGGAGCAAGAAGAGACACATGCAATGAGGGAACTTTTTGCACGCAAAATGATGTCACAAGAAGAAGAAAACGAAGAAGAAGATATTTCACTCAAATGGCTTTTATTCGCTGAAGTTATACACGCTCACATGCCGGTGTGTAATATTGTTTATTTGCATATGTATTACTAACAATATTTATGTTTATATATGCATATGACAGATGACACGTTGCACAATAGTATATATGTTTATATTTATATTTATGTTTATATTTATATTTATGTTCATATTTATACTTGCATTTATATTTACACAGTTAGATGATTTTAATAGTTTATGGCATTTAGGTGAAGCATACTTTTGGGCGTTTTTATAACATATGCCAGCTAATAATGGTCGAGTGCTTAAGGTTATTGACATTAAATTTATAGGACTATTTAAAACGTATATTTATGTGCATTTCCCTTCGTTGAATGGAAAATAAAATTTCATATTCACATAGAGTACGCACATGCATGCCTATTAGGAAATAAAATTAGGCTATATTTTCTTTAAATTTATTAGCAATATGTTTCTAGCTATAAATTTGTGGGCTTACCTTATTCAAACCGAGTTTGTATAATTGAACAGACAGCAATTTAATAAAAAGGAAAAAAAATACCGGAAATTGTTTAATAATTTGGGTCGCACAATATTATAATGTTTTATTTTTTTCTGTTTATTTTTTTAATATTAACAATTTTTGCGATCTTTTTTAATTTTTTTTCTAAATTTTTATTTAATTTGAGATATTGTAAACTTTTTTTCATTTTAATTTTTATTTTATTTTTTGATATTATTTATCTACAAAGATTATTGTTTAAATATCTCTATATAAAATAATATTCAGAAATCCATGCTTTTAATTAATAACCAAAATCGTCATAAGCTGAAAATTTTACTTGAACTTTTCTATTCCAAAGGACTGCAATAGCAGAAGTCAACAGTGCGTATGAGTAATTTTTTAGTATTTTTTATGCAGAAATATGTGTTGAGCTAAAATAAAACAATTTCTTTTTTTTTTTTTTTGATTATTTAAATAACAATTTTTAATTGCATTTTATTAACAAATATTTGCTCATTATAGCAACAGAGTTTTTCATTTATAATTCTCATTTTCATTGCCCTGTTGCAAAGAGGGAGGCACTTAGTATTTTCCGGAAGAGAAGCCAGTGTTGAAGATTTCTTCTGCTTTAAAGATTTATGTTTTGGTTAAGCATTTTTATTTAATTTCAAGTGTTTCCTGAGTATTTTTAGCCTTTCCATTTCGATATGAAGTTAAACTCTATTTTCGCTTCTCACATCCACTGTTTGCCATTGCGGTCCACAGGTGGCGGTGCTGGCGCCGCTGAACGATTGGCACTGCCACCACTAGTATTGCTACTATCTGCAGATTTCTGCCTGGTGGTCTTGGATTGCTTTTCATTCTCCACACTGTAGCCGCGTGTGAGCTCGGCATGGCTAGCTTTGGGTTTTGCACCACCAAATGCCGGCTGCATATTCACTACCGAACTGACCTCGGAGAGATTATCGTCGTACGAATTGTAGTATTGCTCATCATCATCCAAGTCAACGACATCTATATCGAAGGAGTTCGCATTGGCGGTGGGCCCAGTGTAGCCTGGGCGCCGTCCCGAGTAACCGAACTCTACAGAAAATGGCGTGTGACGTGTGCCTGGCGCATTAGCGGCATTGCTGCTTTGCTGATAGCTGGGCGGCGCTGGCGGTGCAGCGGTTTTCTTTACAGATGCCATTGGTACGCCAACGCTTGCGGAGCTCACAGCTTTGCCTGGTGCTTGCACTTTAGACGCTTGCGGCTTGACTGGCTGCTGCTGTGTCTGCTTCGCTAAGTTGGCGGCGGAGAGTGGTAGCTCATTGCTGGGTTTCGAACTTTGCTTTGGCCTGTTATTGCTGGTGGTAGCCGCATGCGTTGATTTATTGAGCTGAATTTCTGGCGCAGTCTTGGCGCGTGCCAACTGTGATGGTTGTTCCGCTGTTGAGGGAAATTTTGCTTTATTATGCTTTAGGAAGCTCGGTTGCTCTTGCCCACGCTGGTAAGCACGCAGCAACTCACGTTTTTTCACCTCCGCGGTACGCGCATGCGGTCCGTCATAGTGATCGTCAATCTCTTCGCTTATCTTATTGAGCAATTCCAAGAGAGTTGAGGTCTTTTCATCCTCGAACTCAATTGGTATGGGCGAATCCATGCCGGGACGCGAGAAGGTGGGGCTAAGCATGATAAGGCTGTGGAGTTTATAAAGGGAATTAGTGAAAAGTTTTTTTTGTTTTTTTGCAGTTTAATCTGTTATATGAACTCACCGCTTCGCCTCTTCGATCGCTTTGCCTAGATTCTGCAAGTTGTCCGCGTCATGATAGTTACTACAACGTCCGATTTGCGAGTTCTTCGTTACACCGCGCAGCACTACAGTCCATTTGTGAGTAGCCGACTGTGCAGCCACTGTTCGTGCTACACGTCGGAAGCGTTCGATTGGCGTTTCATTGAGATTACGTGAAGGTTCTTTCTCCACTCGAATTTCGCTCATTTCTCCCTCGCCATTCACATTGAAATTAATGTCCTCGGCGTGAATCACTTGCACGGGCGCCACTTGGAAGCCCTTCATGAGCTGACGTTCCCAGACTTTGTTACGCTTGGCGCGGGATGCTGAAAAGGGAAAGAAGGGTAATAATTATGAGTAACAAATGAAATTTCAGGGAGACTATATTTCCTAGCAAATAAAATCCCAGACGTCCGCCTTGCCATGACCTTGAGATTAATATGTTATTGGGATATTAATCTTTCCGAGTAGGGAACAGTTCTTTTCCGAACCATTGCTTTCACGGTTGTCCACAGCCTACTCTTGGGCAGGGCTGCACTGGTTTGGAGTCCCCGATCTCTGGCCTCTCGGAGTCAAGCTCCAATCTTTGGATCTGTGTATTGTGCGCCTTTCACTTCCAGAGTCTCCAACAGTCCTGAAAATTCCCTCGAAGAAAAATCCATTTCAGCGAATACATCACTAAGGGAATTGTGTTTCACCCTGTTTCCAGCTTCCTCTTGAAAAGTTTAGGTCTGTGTTTGAGTCCTCTTTCCTTAGTTTTGCAATCGAGCTCCAATCCAGAAGGCGAGGTATTCAAAAACTGTGCTCCACTGGAAATACTGTCAAGGCAAGAAGAAAATTCTATTTCCGGAAGCCTGCGTTACAGGAATAAACACCACGTCCATTTAATCTGGTTATTTTACTAAGAATATGGGATAATAATCTGCCTGAGTATAGAGCATGACTGCCTAAAGCTTCGTCTTAGGAGACTTAGAGTCCAACATCTCGAACGGCACTAGCGTTATTCGTCTCATGAGCTCACGTCCTCAAATATCACCCCGATTGGAAGCTTCTAGGAGTTTTAAGCCTCTTTCTAAGAAAATGTGATTTTCTCCTTTCAAGAATCCGCTTATACGTTCTTCCTTGCGGTACACCTCACGCGGTGCTCTACTCACCAAACCCCAGAGTCTAATATCAAACCCAACCACAAACACTCTCCCCCATACTTACGTTTCTCACGCTTGCTCGCACTCGAACAATCCAACCCACTGTTCTCGAAAACATCCAAAATCTCATAGCGCATCGTCGAAATCTCACATTTCAACTCATTAATGTCATCCTCGGTGACAGGATTCTCTTCGAACTTGCGATGCTCAGCGGATATGAAACGCCAAACCAACGAACGCATTATATTATCATAGGCATTCTCTTGGTCCTTTTGCTGGCGCTTCTGCAAAGTGGCGGACCAAAGAGTGAAGCAGCAAAAAAAAAACAAAAAATTAGATAAGGAAAAAAGAAAAAGTAGAAAAAAAAGAATATTAAAGCCACTAAACGACAAACAAATGCATAATTAACCACACCTTTGAACGCTTCTTATCGATCGCCTTGCTCGATTTGCGAAATATCCTTATTAGCCACTTAGCCGAGGGCATTATATTGAAGGGTGGCGGCAGTGTGGCGCTATCCTCGAAGTAGCTCATCCACAGTTTGGTGCGTGCGAACTTCCATTCGGTGTCGGAGTGCTCCTGGTGGGTGGTAGAGGCGGAGGAGGAGGAGAAAAAGAAAGAAATGAATAAATAAATTGTAACTCAAGTGGCTGATAAAATTATTCAAAACGCTCCTTTTATGCCTACTGCGCTTGCACGCATAAATCAGACATTCCACAAAGAGCTACGCTTAGTTTGTGGCACGCGGAATGCTGAGCGAGAAGTTGCCGCAAACAAATAAATCTCTTTTTGTTCACACGTCGACAGACAGGCAAACATACAGAGAGACAGACAGTCGAATACATCCAGCCGCTGCTATTACATTGTCCGTACGTGACGACCCAACAGACGTTTTGTGACAATTGTTTGGTGTCTTTACGTGCCGACTTTCTTTATGACCAACAGACGTGTAGTTTTGGCTTGCTTGCTATGCGGGAGTGGGAAGCTCTACACCTCTACCCTGTGTCAGTGTAATCAGTTCCATCTTTACGTGCAACTTCACAAACATTTCGACGTCTTTATCTCTTTTGTACTTTTGGTGTTGACAAATTTGTGCCACACGAGAGGGTGGTGGAGGGAGCGGACTTCTTATCAACTTTGCTGACATATCAATTCAACAAGCTGGCTACCGTGGGGTATTCAATGCCCACATTCACGTCCTCTCCACCTTCTCAATACAATAATTATTCATACATTCACACAACCATACACACACAGACACCCAGCGCAGTTTGTCTTTAACCTCCGCGTTCCTTCCTCCCTGCCTTCCGTTCCGTTTGCCGTTGGGCTCAGCAGACTGTTCTTTCAACACTCCGAGCTCATTTCATTTCGTTCTTCTTCCCTTATTTCACACAACCAATCTTTCAGCCACTCATTCACTCCTTTATGCTTACAGGTATAGACGTGTGTGTGTGTGTGTGCAATTTGAACTTACATCAATCATTGCATATGAATTGGACATCATCGCGATGAGTAGATTCAACAAGACAATCACATTGATGACACTGTATGAGCCGAACATCAGCAAACCCCAGAAGCGTGTGTATGATTTAATGCCAGTCAACTCGAAATCGGAAAGGCCGACCATACCGAAACTGGCCCAGAAGAGTGATTGGGATGATTCGAAGAGGCTGTAAGAAATTGAAGAGAGACGGAAAGCATGAAAGAGAGTGAAGTAAATGAAATGTGTTTTATATTGAAAGAAATACGAGTATATCCACATACACATATGTATGTGTGTGTGTGTGTGTGTGCTGCATATTTAAAGGATAATTGGAAATAATCTGTGGAGTATTGACTGATGAACAAATGAAAGATTACACAGTTATGTATGTCCGTTGTATGTTTGTTTGTAAAAGTGGTGATGCGGAAAATGTACGAGTAAAGGAAATCGAAAAATGGCCTGTGGCTGTAGAGAGTAGAGTAGAGAACAAGAAAAACTGCTTTGGAGTAAGGAGAAGGCCTTAAAGTGCAAAGAGTGGCTTATTATTATTTAATTCTTGTCAGGCAATTTTTTGCGTACCTATTTTTTAGTGAAGTTTCTTTGGCAACATTTTTTGTTGGACAACTTTTTTGTATGCAAATCTCTTTTTGTTGTTTTTTAAGTATATATACTTTTTTCATAATATTTTAATTGAGCAAAATTGTTAGTTCCGCAACATTTTTTGTTGAGCAACATTTTTCGTTAAGCAACATTTCTTGTTTAGCAACATGTTGGGTTGACAAAAAATTTTGCAAAATATAAAATTTTTTTAGAAATATTTATATAAATGATTTTTTTGCTTATCAACATTGTTTTTTTTCATAGCAACATTTTTCGTTTAACAACATGTTGGGTTGATCAAAAGTTTTTGCATAAAAAATTTTTTTTTTTGGTTTATTCTTTAGAAATATTTATATTCTTGATTTTTTTGCTTATCAACATTTTTTTTTTCATAGCAACAAATTTTGTTTCTTTAGTAAAAATTTTTGTTACACAGTATTTTTGCAAATTAACCTTTTTTACTTAGCAACATTTGCAACTTTTTTTGCATTACATTATTTTTTGTTGAGTTTTGGAAAATGCAACGAAATTTTTAAAGAAAAGAAAAACATGAATTGATTTAAGTAACACTTTGTGATAAACAAAAATTTTTTTTGCGGAAAAATTTTTCTTTGCCAAAATTTTTTAATTAGAACATTTTGCTTTGGCAACATCGTTATTAATTTTACTATTTTTTTTAAATTATTTTCATAGCACCACAATTTGCTCATCAACATTTTGAGTCTTGAAATTTTTTTATTAGGAAACATTTTGCGCAAGCAAAATTTTTTGGCATTAATTTTTAGCCTAAGTTTTTATAATATATTTTTTACCAATAAATTTCAAAAAAAAATTTAAATTTTTCAACAACATCACCAATTTAATCAGCTGGCTGAATTGATTCGAGTTCATTCCTTTCAAGTTTTTCTTTTTAACATATTTAAAAAAAATGTGGCAACTCTATTTAAAAATATTTTTTTAACGTTAATCTATCAGACTAAAGCTCATATTAAAAAATTTGTATTTTTTTACCTGAAGTCAAATCCCCAAAACGGGTGGCAACGCTCTCTTCATGATATATTTTTATATTACGACAGTGCAAAAAAATATTTCATGCTGGCAATTCTCTACAACATATTTTTTCAACAAGTGGCCATACTCTAAAAATTTTTTTTTGTTTAAATCACTCATTTTATTCCCACTGTGCGCAAATGCTAGTATTTGAATAATTTTATTTAATTTTGAAAAAATTATTTCTCTTTTATCTATTTTTTAATTAAAAATATCAAGCAGGGTTGCCTTTTTTATATAAATAAATAAATTTTACACTTTAAGACCTTTCCTTTAACTCTCTTCAGAATTACGTGTACAATAATTTTTTTTTTTTTTTATATGAAAAAGTGCAGCTGATGGCAACACTACTCGACAAATATTATTACTCTGAAAGCATTTCTCTTCAGTTTGATAGTTTAATTGTATCAGAATTTTTTTCCTTTTTTTAACACCTTCACAATTTTTCTACTCACTTCCCAAATCGTCGCCACTTCATGCACGAATCTCCATTGCCACCCCAGTCGGCCGAACCATCTGCCAGACTATAGCATTTACTTTTCTCCAAATCGGCGAAATACCACAGCAACTGATTGAGACCACAAGCGAAGGCGAACAAAACCAAAGAGTAGATGAAGAAGAACTTCACAATATCAATAACCATGCGTCCGAGTGAGATCTGCAGCGGTCCCAAGTGAGGATTAATTGAGAAGAGATGTACCAGTTTAAGTGCCGAGAAAACATTCGCAGCTGCAAGCAGACCCTCGGCGATCAGCTGTGGATCGTAGTCATTCCATTTCTCGCGTGGTACATAAGCCATTTTTGGATCGTACGCAATCTCGCTGGTTTGCTGAATGTATGCGATGATTCTGTGGGAAGGAGAAAGGATTGAAATAAGTTTTAGTTTTTTCAAAAAAAATAAAATAAAAATATAATAAGATAACCTGTGATCTGAGACTGTGATCTAGCTGACGTAGTCTGAACAGCTTTGCACCGATTTCGACATAACCTTGCGAGCTCAGTTTGTTTTCTCAACTTTTTCTTGGCTGTTCGTGTATATAGCTATGAACTTTTTAGGAAATGGTTGGTGAGCTTAAGCTGACTAAATCGAAAAACCGCCAAAAGTATGAAAGTTCGTTTGTTTACATTGACCTATGGTCTAATTATGATCACTTTTCCTAAGCTCATCGATCATGTTTACTATAGCACATCGTTGATCAACGTGATGTTCAATGTGAGATTACCCAACCAACAGAAATAGAGTCTGAGAAGCCAGTCATCTCGACCAATGGGCACTACGCTGTCGTGAGGCTACACTATCTCTCATAATGAGATCAAGTGTTGCATCTAGTATACAAACATTTGAGACTAGGCCTGCATGGCATTAACTATGTTACCTGTTATAGAACCTAAGTAGACTAGTTGGGCCGACAAACGGCGAAGGGATCTAGTCTTCTCTTCCAAAATAAATTGATTAAGATTTGAAAGCCTACACTGAAATATATTTGGCATGCCAATGAGCTATACCACACAAGAGGCGAGGGACAGATTCTCCGAGCCTCTCTAAGCTTATCAAGATGCCTAAAATATTAATCTGCATCCATGAACCTTTGACTCGCTGAAGGAACTTTCATGAACTTCATTGAACTTCATGATACTAAGTTTTTCTCAACTTTAGGCTTTAGACCCAGACTGGAGCCTACTTTGTATTTTGATGGAATTTTTTATTCTTTTAAGTTTTGAAAGAAAAAAAGTTAGGTCTGATCGTGAGCTTCGTGTTTGGCGTTAATCAGGGAGCAAACCCATCCCATCTTAGAGTAATGGGAGCTGAGTTTCGATAAAAGATCTTGTGTAGTTTTCTTTGTAGTTCATAAATTTTTAGACTCCATCGAATTCATCTCCAGAAAACAAAAATACTTAATCTTCACATAACTTGTTTTGTCTAATCATTCTCTCTTAATTTACCTTCTATACTGTACCTAACCTCACACTTACCTCAAGCACATGACGCTCACGTACAAACTGTTGCGCAGAAAATCAATAAAATTCCACATATTCCGCAAATAACTCTTCATACCGAGCGTGAATATCTCCTGCACCTCCTCAAACATAAAGCCAAACACGTAGAAGACAACCAACAACTCCAGCTTGGTGGGTGCTTTACCACGCTGACGCAGCTGTTCTTCGGCCAACTCCTTTCGCATGCGTTCGGTACCGAAAAGGCGTATAACATCGTCATCGGCACGTTGTGAGACCAGGATTAGTATAACTGTAGGAGCAATGAGCGTGATGGTGTTTAGTTGTATGTGCGCCGAAGTAAAGGGAAATCCATTCAATAGCATTGAGTTCAAGGACATGCCAGTTGGACATGCGAACAAAGTGTTGTAGTCAGCAGAAAAATGCATTGGCGCAAAAAAAAATGAAGTGAAAAAAAAACGAAAGCATAAAAGAAAAGAAGCATTAGTGGCAAAAAGTGCTAACAAAATGATAAAAGTGCATTGAAAATAAATTGTGGGACTGAAAAATTGTAAAATATTGCAGCGAGTCTTTTCAAGCAGTGCAATGCAGTGTGTGGATTTGATAACTGTTTATTTGTTGCGGCTGTCAAGTACTCGTTGTAGACGTCGCACTAAAGACACTCCGTTGTATGGACGTAGTCACACTGAGTCGGAGACAATTTTAAAGAGATTTGTAAATGAACATATAAATTTGCAGAATTTAAGTGAATTTTGTATTTGTTTTTTATTTCGCTTATCAATGTCTCTTGGATTCTTCCTCTCCGTCCTCACCGCTAACAGACTCTGCGTTTTACTCAGTTTTTGTACTTTGCTTTGGATTTTACTGAATATTTTTTATTAGTTTTCTTCGGTGTTCTTGAAAAGTACTCTACTATCACGTTTCTCTATTTGTCCTCTTCTTTGTACTGCCATATTTGCGGTAATGCAACAATTCTTGGCAGCATCCCAAGGGCATTTATTTTCTTTTACAACAACTCAAGCACCATTTGCTACTATCTGCTTTACTCGAAAAAAAATGTTCCTAAATGGGTTTCTAAATGTTTGTCAAGTATCACTTTTACTCAGTTTATTTTTTGTTTTAAATTTAATTTTATTTTATTTTATTTTATTTTATTTTATTTTATTTTATTTTATTTTATTTTATTTTATTTTATTTTATTTTATTTTATTTTATTTTATTTTATTTTATTTTATTTTATTTTATTTTATTTTATTTTGTTTTATATTATTTTATTTTATTTTATATTATTTTATTTAATTTTTATTTTTTTTTGTTTTGTTTTACCCCTTTTTTGTTTAAATTACTTTTTTTTTAATTTTATTTTAGTTTATTTCTGTTTATTTTGTTTTTATTATATTTCTATAATCTTGTCGATTTCTGCACTTAGCATGAAATAAGTTTGACGTAAGTTTGCTATTTGTATTTGATGCCGCTAACTTATTGCTGGATTGTTGTGACAGCAGCAAATTACTTTTGGCCAGACAAGTGTTAATAACCGTTAAACCAAAGGACAGAAAAAATCTTGAACTATTAACCAACATGACAAGTAGCAAATATGCCATCAACGGAAAACTTAATGGACTGGAAAGATTAGTTGTGTGCATTTTTATGCTTAAGGCATTTCGAGAGTGAAGAAAAACTTTCGTTTGAGAAAAAGGCGATAAGAAGGCTGAGTGATTTTTTGCCTCCTTTAAAGCACTAGAAAAAGCGTAGTTCCAAAAAATGGCTGGGTATTTCGATTATTAAATTTTAAACTTCTAAATATAGGCCACGCTAGTAGATGCATATAAAAGTAGTTCCAAAAACATATTTAAAATATTTTTCCGTACATTTGGACGCACCACTGAATGGTTGTGTTTAAATAGAAACGAAAAAAAAAATTATTATATAAAAAAGTATATTTTAAAATTTATTGATTAAAATGGGACATTTTCGAATTATACTCAATTAAACAGTCTAGTCATTCTTTTTTATTGACCTTTGCACTTTGCTATGCCTCATCACTACACAATTGCTTTACTGCAGCTCCGTGAAGGCTTTTACTACTCTTGGGTCTTTTCTGTTTAGGTTATTTTTGCTTATCTGTGGCCATATTAATTAACAACGCAGTGAAGAAATTCATTTTGTTTTTAAAAATGGCAGTAAAATATTTTTTTTTCGCCTTCTACTGCACAAACTACCAAAACTCTACACTCAATTACTTTTGCCGCTACTGCGATCTCTTCACTTCCACACTCAATTCTAAATTTAACGACTCCTCAGTGGCAAGCTACTTCGATTAGCAAGATTAGGCGGTGCTGCTACTTATTTGCAAACAAAGGAATCAACTTCTGGATATTTAAGATGCCATGCCTAACGGACACAACAACAGTAAAACATAGCATCACCAGGAAACAACCGCCTACTACTTTTAATCGCTGGTAGAAGGAAGTTGTTTGCGAAAATGCCTGCATCAATACAAATTAACGACCATTACGTAAAGTGCAGTAGCCTTCACACAAGACACGCCAGCAAATTTCAGCTAAATTGACAAAATACTTGAGCTGCTTCGCTTCGGAGGAACTACGTAAACAGGAAGTGATTAACGAAATACCAGGCTCAGGCTCTAAAGTGCTTTGTATACGTATGAGTGCCTGTAGCCATGCAGAACTAAGATTTTGTGATTTTCTATTGCATACACTCAGGCGCAAGGTAGCTTTTTTCCTTTCTAACCAATGAACGGAGTATAGTAAGGTCTCCCGTTTTTTTATTATTTTATTTTATTTAAAAAATATTCATTTCAAAGCTCGGCTCGTATGAAATTTAATTGAAAACTAACAAAATATATTTGTGCGCAAATTTTGTGATTTTTTCTTGATACTAAAATACCCCTGAGTACAGCAGTGCGTATACGTTACAAAATATTTTTAATTGGGATATAAAATACACGTTTAAACGCTTGTAATTTCGAAACCAGTAAAGGTATTTAAAATAAAAATAAATCCTCTATTGGAGTTCATAAAAAAATAGTGGAAAAAATTTGAAATGTGAAAAATATTTATAATATTAAAATTGCAACTATCGACTTTTAAACTTATTAAGTTTATGTTCAAATTTCAAAAATTGAGCCAACCCCTAATGAGTACACACATTTGCCATAGCGATTTTCTGCAATCTGGCACTTTGTAAGACAACAACCAATCAAAAGCAACTCATACTTACACAAGAAGAACAAATACGATGAGGCGTGTATCAAAAATTTCATAAACGGCTTACGCATCAATATACCCGTACGACAATTCGGGGCAAACATATAGATCATACAATAGACCGGAAAGAGTACAGCCACTTGTATGATGCACCAGAATTTTTCCAGCAACGTTTTACGTCGGAAGCCCGGCAAGCCGTCATACCAAATGGCAGAGAGTAGCTGCTGGATGTTCGAGTGGGCAACGAACTAAAAGTGATAAGTGGTAAATAAATTTAAACATTCCATTGATTTCTTTTTAACTTTAGCCAGCTTTTTTTTCAACCATACTCTCCACTGACCCACCTTCTTCTGCTTATAAGTAATTGCTTGTTCCAAACGATTTAAACTCATACGATCTCCCGGCTCATACGTGGACATCTCCGGATCGTAGTTAAGTATAATGGCCAGCTCATTAGAGGTGCGTGTTTGATCGAGCAGATCCACGGCAAATTTCTGACACTGACGCCGCAACTCCATATACTCGGCTTTGCATTCCTGCAAAAAGAAAGGAAATCAGAAGAAATAAGAAAATATGAAAAATGTTTATGATCTTAGTGTAATGACTCTCACAAAAGTTTAGACCTAAATATCATGGAAAAGTTTGCGCCCAGAATTATGCACAGAAAAATTATGCTTTGAAAAATAGCAGCAAATTGAACACAACTTGAGAAGCTCTTGTATCAAAGTGAAAAAAAAATTCTTCATTTACCCAAATTTTCTCCTTTTTCTATTCTTACAATTATTTCAGAATTTTTCTAATTTTTTTAATTTTCAAAGTTGTTTTAATTACGCTTTATTACCATTTCTTTGAATCTCAGAATTTTTTTTAATTTGCAAAATTTTTCTAAATTATTTTAAAGGTTTTAAACTTTTCCTCCTTGTTTTTTCCTGATTACAATAATTTTTTTTTTTTTGATATTTTCCTCCATTTTTTTCCTTTTCATTTTTTTGCTACCCTTTAAAATTATTTTATATTTTTCCTTTTTTTCTTAAATTGTTTTTTTATGTTCTAAAGTTTTCCTTAGATTTTCTTATTCCACTCTCGTATTTTTAATTCTTTCTAGTTTTTTACTTTCTATTATTGCTTGTTTTCTTTATTGTTTTTCTTTCTTTTACTTACTTAGATTTATTTACCAATTTTTTAAATATCATTTATTACTTTTTCTTTTTAATATTTCCCAAATTTAACTTAAGTTTATTATAATGCCTTCTTCAATTTTTCTGTAATTTTTTTTAATAAGATTTAATATTTTTTATATTAATATATTCCTCAATTTTTTTTCTAAACTTTTCTGTTCCTTAACTTTTCTAAATTTCCTTAAACCTTTCGATACTTTTTGTTTTTTTTTTTAATTTATTTTTTAAAATTTTATCCATTGCCTATAATTTTTTTTATATTTAAATTTTATAAAAGTTTTAAATTTTTCTGATAATTTATTTTAAATCAATTTTTGGTTTAAAATAATTTCTTTATGTTTTTTCATGGATCATTTCCTAATTTGTTTTTAAATGTAACTTTGTTGTTTTTTTCTTGTATTTTCTTGCCACTCACCTGTTCAGTAAAAGCTAAGTTCCGCAACTCCCATGACAACTGGAATGCCGTGAGTAATGGATCACTTGAGGTAAGGCATATGAGTGAGGGGCTAGCCAATGCCTTGTAAATATTAACACGTGACAAAGAATGACGTAGTGAGTCTTCGTTAGACAAGCGAACGCATTCATCACAACCGCAGCTGCGGAGAAGAGAAGAGACTCAGAAATTGCGTAAAATAAAAAAAGCAATAAGAATAGCTTTGTACCTGTGAAAACTGTCTAGCTCACTAAAAATGGCTTAAAATTTGTGTAAAAAGCTGTGCTAAAAATTTTCCTATAGATTTAAAAATTTGTAGCATAACCTTAGGCGCAGTATGTTAAGGTGCAACTTGCAAACATTTTATATGAGCGGACATTAATATTTCTTCATTTTACTTAATATATTTATGGAAAATTTATTCTTTTCATATTTACCGTATATCGTGTGGCACTGGTACGGCAGCACCACGATCTAATAATATTTTTAAAATTTCGAAATTATTTTTATGAGCGGCCAGTATGAGTGGTGTTATATCTGGTGGGAAGACGGCCGTGTTCATATCGACTTTCTGCCAACTCTGTGAAGATATTGAAAAATAATTACAAATTCATCAAATTTTAAAAAATATATAAATAATAAAAATGTACAATATTTTTGGACTATTTTTCTTATGTTAGAAATTATAAAATACTCGTAAATATATTACAAAACTATTGTCAAATAAAAAAATTTGGTAAAATATAATTTAAAGAATTTTTAATTGGTGTTGTTATCTATTTTGAAATTAAAAATGCTTTTATAATTTTGTTAAATTAATATAATACAAAATATTTTATTTTTAAAAAATTTTTTCTATATTCATTTTTATCATATATTTTCAGTATGATGAAAGTCAGGTTACGCCAGACAATGAATAGAAATTAGACATTCAAAGTAAAGTGAAAGGTAAAAAAATGCTTGTTAGGGTTACCATTCGATGTTGAAAGAAGCATCAGAAATGATATTCAGTACCCCTTGACCAATAATAATTACTCATTAAAATAATTGGCAATGAAAAATTGAGCATCGCTTTTGAAATTCCTTTCTAAGTCAAGTGTCAACATTTTATATGTAAACCACACCTGGAAAAAGGTTTGTTTTACTATTTATTCATATCAGGCCTTAAGCAGCTATGGAATCAACTCCCGAGTGTAGGCAATTTTTGTAGTTGAAAGCCCTCCATACAGTAAAATACTACAAAGACATTGCCAACAACTAGGGGCATAGATTTTTACTAATAAGGCTTAAACTCATTGCAGGAAGCTTGAGCAATTATATAAATTATAAAATTCTGATGCGGGTTACTAAGAGATTTTTGTTTTTCAAAAAAAAAAAAAAAATTAAATTAAATAAAATAAAAAAATAGATTAATAAAAAAATTTTTTTTTCTTCTAAAAAATATTGCTCTTAAAATAATATTCAATTGTCATAGTAAAATTGTATGCATTCCAGTATTTATTTCATTATTTATTTTGTTTTTTTTTTTAATTTTAATATATTCGGCTCCTCAAAGCTATAGTTCTTTATTCGCTCAAAAATCAACAATAAAAAATTTCTTTAAAACACAACAAATTGTTACAAAATAGTGTACCAACTTTTGTTCTACTTTGACATGAATCAAAAAAGAATTTTCATTTGATTGAATGTTGAATGGCAATCCATTAGCCACACCTGAATGCCTCACTCGGTCATGAGCGTTTTCGCGCCCATTCAACTGAATTGTGTCAATTTGCAGTTAACTTTCTGCACAAACATACGAGTATATGCTTTTGGTTTTATGTATAAAAAAATATAAGTGACAAAGTCAAGGACACCGGGTTGACATTACAATGTGCCTCAGCTGCTGCTTTCACGCATCACTCAACAGCCAAAACAACACATACTCACACACATTTTTTTTATATATAACACTCTTTCCCTCTCTTACTCTCTACCTCTCTATATGTATATGGAATATCTCTTATTCGCTCTCACACCCCACAGTTCTATCTGTCATTTGTTTCCTGCCCACCCATTGGCACATTAAGTGCCTAATCAAGCATGGTATAACGCATTTGCGACAAACAAAGTGGGCTAAAGGTGAGCAGTCGACACCTGAAATGAGCAAAGGATAAAGGATGTGTATTGCAGTGTATGAGTGTGAGTGTGCCCATAAGCATACACAGCCTGCCATGTCTTAGCCAACATGGTTTTTTGCATATGAATATAAATGTGGTTTGGTGTATATATTTATTCATATACATTTTATAAATGTATGTTTGCATAAATGCTAAAAAATGCTTATGAATATATTCAAAAACATAAAAAATAGCTCAATGAATAGCTGTTTGCGTATATGAATGCATAAATGATTGCTTGATGAGGCAGTCAGGTGTAAAATGACTCTTTATATGTGCATATGTATGTATATGCATATGTATGTTTATCTGTAAATATATGCAAATAAGTATATATATAAATATAGCTAATTTTGCAAATTCTGTGCCCCTATTTAACATTCTCTCTTTGATTAGATCCCAACACATCAGCGCCTTAGCATAGCAGAGCGTATACGTAACATTTATATTTATGAGGAAAATATTATATATATTTATTGCTGTAATTGTGATTAAGCTAAGGTGTCCCTAAATAAAATCATGAAAAGCATTTAACAGAAACTAATATGTTGAACATTTATTTTTCGTAAAATAAAATTGTGCTCACCACACCACTGCGTATACGTGACCTAAATAATATACTGGCATATATTACGCTTTTTTACAGTTAGCAAATATTTATTGACACTATAAACTGAATAAATAATTGTTAAAAATGACACAAAGTTAAACTCTTTAAATATTTAATTATTAACAAATTCGGAAATACAGGATTATCCGTTTTGCGGTTTCGAAAATAAACGCAAAAAACGCCATTTATATTTTTCCCTGTCTATTATAAAGTTTCGAGAATTAACATTACATAAGCGAAGCACTACATCATTCAAATGACCTGTCTTGCGAATCTTTGCATACTTCAGTGCGCTTGAGGCAATTTTTTGATCTCTTTTTGGCCCATTTGGAACAGTATCTCAGTCTCAGTTTGACAAATTTTGGTTTTCAAACGTTTAAAAATTAAGGCTTCATCCGCTTAAATACGGTCTTTCATGTATCCCCACAAAACAAAAACTCCAATGTTTCGAGTCGCATGATTTCGGTGGTTAATTGTCATTGCCAAGATGAGACAAGAGAAATATCGTTCGAAATGAAAGCAGATTCACACGTGTTGTGTTGCATGTGGCAAACCATATATTGCCCAAGTCGTGTCCTTCAATTGCAGGCCAAAGAAAGTTAGCTATCGAATTAACAATGACAGTCCCACCGTAGATGTTTTCACAGAAGGTCGCAAAGGACAGTAAGTTTTTACTTTGGTCGGAAAGGTCTTTCTTCGATTATTACAGAACAGTGAGAAATGTGCCTCGTCATTGAAATTTTTTTCGAAAAATCACCATCCACTTGTCGCCCAGACACCCAACAGGTGTATGTGTGGTATTGTACTGGCTCAGCTACTTCAGCTGTTATGTTAGCTCAATAGGTGTAAGTCTAAGAGCAAAATACGAAATACTCTCAGGTTTTCGGCTATGCTTTCCCTTAGTAAGTCGTTTTTATGTTGGACACATTTATTATTACCTCATCACTATGTGTCCTAATAAAGGTAAATTGAAATGTTATGCCTTATCGAGATTGCCTTAGAGTGGAGCTACTAATTGACAATTGCAAGCCCCTCAAATATTGGTGAAATATTTTATTATATTTAATGAAAAAAGGCATTTTTTTATAAATATATTTATAAGAAAAATACAAAAATCATTCAAAGCTTTCAATATTTTCACGCGGTAAATAAATAGATTTTATTTCTTTATTTATTTTTTTAAGAATTATTATTTTTTTTTGTAAATTATCAAATTTATGTACAGAAAATTAATTATGTGAAACAACAAAATTTTTTTATTTTATTTGAATACTTTAAATTACTGAAAATGCACTTAGTTATTTATTTAACTTTTTTCAAATTTGTATTAATATAATTTTAAGACTTTTAATTGAAGGCAAATGAACTTAAAATAAAAATTTCCCTTCCCTAAAATTATTTTTTTTTAAATTTCCATTTGTTTAAATACTTTTAAAAATATTTTAATAGTTTTTTTTCTTCTTCAGTCTTGCCTAAGCAAAAGCAAAAATTAACAACGCACACTTAACGTCTGCTTGAAAATCTGTGATAAAAACGTGACTAACGAGGCAAGTGCCTTAACGAGCCAAGGCAGCAATGACAAAGACGTAGCTTATGAGTGTGACATTTTATGGCACTAAAAAATAAAATGAAAATTTTGAGGCATAAATGCATACACATAAATATATAAGCACAAATTTATACACATACAAATGCTTAGAAATCAATAAGAAAATATATTGATACTCATATACGTGTATATATGTTACGTATATGTGTGTATGTTCCTCAGAAATCCCACTTTATGCGGGTTAAATTTTAATGTGAAGAAATTCAAAGGCAAAATTACGTATGTATGTTAAATATGTCTGCATATAAGTATATGTATGTATTATACCATAGCCATTTATCTGTATATATTCGCATTTATTTCCTTATAATCGCTTGTCACACTTAATGCCTATGTCAGCAGCTTAAGTGTCAAGTGTTGTATTAATAAAGTTTATTGACAGACAGACAGCATATTGGAATATATATACTAACTGATATTCATATACTACACTATACCTATATGTGTATTATATATATATATATATATATATATCTAAGTTCCATTTGTCCGTATGTTGTACTGCCTAAGTATATTTGTCTTAAATTAAGCCTATACACATTTATTCAAGCAAGTCTTATGCATAGCAACTATCAATCTACGCACCACCAAAGCACATTTTACTCTACCAGCAGCTCTAAGTATTTAGTTTTACTTCTGTTTAAACGAAACAGCGCCCAGATGGCAGTTGTCAAGTCATTAGTCGCTGACAGTTTTGTCGACGCAGCAGAAAAAAGTGATGCCTGCATGTTTAAGCCACTTGCAAATGAATCAGAATTAAATTGATCAAAAATATTTACTATTGCTTATTATTTTTTTATTTTTATTTTTTTATTTTTATTTTTTCATTTATTATTTTAATAATAATTAGTTATAAAAAAAATATTAAATTATATTTATTATTATTTTGTTAATTTTTTTTTTCAAGATATAGATATTTTTTTCTTGTAAGAATGTGTGTATAATGAGCTGTATGCAAATATATAAAAAGGAGTATTTTTAAATTATTTTCAAAGCCATTTATTACATAAAAAACTCTTAATATTTCAAATATCTACACTTTTCGGTGTGACAGTGCGTATACGTAATGTGAGCATAAAATCTTAAATAAATCTAAACTGTAAAAGGAGTGAACTTATTGAAAATTAAGCACAGTTAATAATTTAAAGCATTTAGTCGACAATAAATAATTGATCTGCACCAAATTGGAGGCAAAAAAACACATAAAATCTTCTAATAAATACTTGAGACTCTTAAAAAATTATTAAAATATGTAAATTATGTAAAAGAATGTATATAAATTAATACACCATCTTTTTGGCTTAAAAATGGAGTTTCTCAACTTATTAAAAAAATTTATTTGATGTTTATATCGACATATCTTTACACTCAATATTTCACTCAACCCTTTACAGGTGGCCGGCCTAACGAGGGGCATTCGCACAGAAAATATACCAACCTCCCTTTGTGCCATTCCAATAAAAAAAGTCCCACAGGGGGAGATAAAATCAAGTCTACTTCTCTACTTCTTAGCTATGAAATCTCTCGATACTCTCTTTCACTTCATTACAGCCACATTACCCAGAAAAACGTGATGCTATTTCAACTTAATTTATATTCTGCATTCAAAAACTCTTCTATATTGAGCCTATAAGTGAAGAGTTGCATTTTCAGTGTTATTAATTGCAAGCTCGCCTGCCATTGTCTCCCCATTAGGTTCAAAGAGTGCTGCTTAGCCATCACTTAAAGTGATCTGTCACAGTTTTCAAACTCAGTTACTCAGTTGCTGATATAATTGTGCTCTAATCAAGGATGCCTAATCATTTCGGACTTTGCGAAAAGACATAGAGACATCTGGCATTCCTACTACTTACGAACATCCAAAAAGTTATTATTCCAATTTTTTTTCAAACATACGGCAACACCAGTCTTATGATTTAATATTTTTCCAAGACTTTCGTGTAATAGAATTTTATTGTGTATAAAAAATAAAAAAAAAAATATATAATTCAATACTCACATAGGGCTCACCCTCCTTATAAATGAGTTCCTCATGCTCCAACAACAACTCCACAGCCTCCACGAATTCCGCATTAATCGCATGCAATAGAGCATCCTTCGTCTCCACACCCATAATCACCAGCAATTCAACCATTTCCAGATTCTCATTATCAATAGCGAGCGTAAGAGCACGACGACCCAAAGGATCCATGCAATTGATGTTGATGTGATGCTTGCGATGGGCCTTTTGAAGAATTCTAAAGGTGAAGAAATCATCAAAAAAAAGAGGCAAAATATTAAAAGGGAAAATTGGAAAAGTACATTATGATGACAGGAAGACTTCACGAAAGTTGTAAGAAAAATTTACAGGCATAATAGAAAAGCTTAAAAACTTATTAAACCAATCAGAGAGTGTTTTTTTGTGATTCGTTCTCAATTATGTATTCAGAAATGTAAAAGTATTAAAAATACAAATAGGAAGTATAAAAATAATACCATTAAGCGCAACAAAGCGCTCCTAAAAGGATATGACAAACTCATACACATAAAGAATAAAAAGCTGTGCCTTGGCCGCTTTCTAACAAACGAAATTTTCTTATTTTCCTTTTCCTTTTTCATATTCCCCTTCTTCTTATTTTTCTGTTTTTCTTTTTCCGTATGCTTTCTCTTTAAATCCCCTACCAATAATGCGAAACGAGAAAATTACTGCATCATTGGATATCTAAAAAAAAAAAAAAGTCAAACTTAAAGAAACTTTTAATTACTCGACTCAGTCAATGTGTATGTGCATGTGTGTGTGTGTGTGTAAGAAAATTAAGCCAAACACAAGCCAAACTCTCGGACTATGTCAAAGCCATTACCAAATGAAAGCAAACCGAACCAATGATGGTTGACAAAAGCTATTATGAGTGCGCTTTCAGAATAGTTTTGACTTCTCTTGCTGGTCACTGCAGCTGGTTATAAGTGAAAAACATCTAAAAAAAAAATTAATAAAATAATAAAGTAAAAAAATAGTGAAATAAAGTTCAGTTCGACTTTTGGTATTGAATTGACAGTCGGAAGTCCTTTTATTTTATTTACGGATATCTATATATAAGTTTATAAAAATATCCATATATATACATATAAATATATAAACGTATGTGAGTTTGCCTGATTGGGCATTAAGACTACTTGGATGCTATTATTCGCAAACTACACTCTTTTAATGGTTATGAAAAGTTCAATGCCCAATGGGCTACTTAATTAAAGACAGAGAAACAAAGAACAGCCATTAAGAATGAAAAATTAGAATTTGTTACTACAATTTGGCAAAATTTTAGAAAGCCCTACAAGCAGTGAGAGGATTTGATAATAGAGTTTAAAGAGATAAACTAGGAACAAGGTCACAATAAAATAAATCCCTTCATACTGTTCTTCTCTTTCGAATCCGAAAAATACCCTCTCGTACCAAGAAGTGCTTGAAGTCTTTTTATTTATTATTTAATTGATTTTATTTTTTTTTTTTTTTTTGATATAAATTTATTAAATTATATTTTAATTTAATTTATATTTAATTTGATTTTATTTTCGAATTTATGGTTTGTTTTTTTTTTAATTCAAATTTTAACTTTTTTATCTTTATTTATTTTCACTTTAAAAAATATATTTTATTTTTATTTAATGTGTTAAGTTCATAAATTAGTTTTTTTAGTTTGATTTTATTTTTCAATTTATATTTTGTCGTTTTTTAATTAATATTTGAACCTTTTACATTTTATATCCTTTTAATTATATTTTATTTCATTTTTAATTTTCAATTTTTATTTGCACGTTCATTTAGTTTTTATTTTTTAACTTTTCTTTAATTTTTAGATTTTTATATATTTGTTTTTTTTTTATTCAAACTTTTTATAATGGATTTTTGTAGTAAATATTTCAATTAATTTTTATTTTTTATTGTGTAATATTTTTTTTTAAATTATTAATTTAATGAATTAGTCAGCATTAGTCGGTTTATTGCTCCAGCAAGTCTACACAAAATCTTTTTTTTATACCTTTTGCAATATTTAACTAAGTTGTTTGTGTTTTCTTTTGGAGCTAAGCCTCTATGATTTAATTTTTATTTCTTTTTATTTTTTTTTTAATTTTTATATTAATAATAAAAAAATTTGATTCTTGTAATTTTTTTATTTTTCATGTCCTTCAGTCCATTAACGAGTCCATGCCATACTCAATAAAACACAAAAAACTCACAATAAATGTTTCACATTCGCACCACCCTCCAGTGGCTCAACTCAGAAACAACCCACAATCGAATAAAACAAAGTAATTTAAAAATTTCTCAAGTGGAAAACCAGAATGCAAATGCCCATACAGCGATTGAGTGCTTAAAATAATAATAAAACTTTTGTAATCAATGAAATGAAAGCATAAAAATATCAATTAACTCGGCAATTTTGCATTAGCACATTGTTTGCTGCCAACCACCGACCGCCGACGCTTCCGGTTGCCAAGTATGCCTCCGGCTACCGCATTCACATTTTATTGAAATTACAATTTTGCCATTAACTCAACGAGTAGGCTATGGAATGTGCAGCAGAGGCATACACCGTAAAAGCGGCGAAGTCAATAACAATTATAAAAGTTAAATGGTATAAAAAATTTAAAAAGAAAGCTTTTTTAGAAAAGGGAAATCACAAAATACATATAGACGCTTTAAGCCAATTTATTAATACTTTTGGATGGAGAGAAATGTTTGGAATGAGTATAAGAATAGAGTAAAAACGCGCGGATTATTTGAAGGGGCCATAGAAATAGGGGGAAAATGCGGGAGAATACAAAATAATTTATTTTATTTTTTTTTTTGTAATTTTTGTTGTTAAAGTTTTAAAGATATGTGGCAACTCTGCATAGACTGTTTCACAAGCTTTTTTACTACAGCCTTATTTCTGTTATTTTTCCCTATAAAGGCATAATGAAATAAATAAATTGGTAAAAAGTATATGGCAACCCTGACCAAAACTATAGCGGTATTATAATTTATATAAAATCATATGCACTGTATGCTAATCATATTTTTCTTTTAGTTTTTCGCAAATAAAAATATATAAAAGATATGTGGCAACTCTGCAAAGACAGACTATTTTAAGCTTTAAAAAAATTTTTTAATGTATAACTTATTTTTTTTTGTATGTATTCTATTAATAACGGATTTAAATAAATCTGTTTGTAAAAAATTATATGGCAACTCTGACCTAAATTGCATCGAAATTAAGGTTTATGAAAAATAATGTTATTTTTTACTGCAATACATGCCTTCGTAGTTTCATTATTGAGATTACACTTTTTCTTATAACTTTTTTAAAAACGTTTAATAGATATGTGGCAACTCTGCAAAACCCATTTTATTGCATTTGAATTGTTGGATCATGCAAATTTTTAGACAATTTTTGCTCTAATGAATATTCAATATTTCAAACATTTTTTATTTTTTTAAATTTTAGTTGGCAGCCCTATAGCACTTTTTATTGATTTATTTTTAAGTAATATTTTATTTCTTTTATTAAAATATGCTAAACAGTTTAATGAAACAATTCAACTAAATTTCATTATAATTAATTATCAAATACTTCATTCTTTTAACTGAACTAAATTTAAAAAAAAAATTTAATAGTCTAATTAGAAGAAAATTTCATATTGAAGTTATGGTTTTATTTGAGCAATTCTTTAAATTTTAATTTCTTTTTTATTATATTTTCGAAAACTTATTTGATAACCATACTAAATTTTTTTTTATTACTTTTATTTTAATTATATTTTTATTTATTTATTCAATTTTTTTTGGATTCACTCTTTTTCGTTCTGAAACCTTTTAGCTCACACCTACACTGCCCTGCCTTACAACAAAAATATATTAAATAGAAAGAATTAATTTACCGCCACCTAAATAATTGCACTCATAAGCGCCACAGGCAACACAACCATATAGAGTACAGTAATAATTGCAACCAAAAATAATTTTGATAAAGTCCGACTGACCAACGGAGCAACGTTGGAGTGTGCGCGCGACAACTTTTTTCTAACACGACGTAAACGATACGACAAAAGTTGAAGCTGTCAAAAGCAACACAGTGAGTTAACCAGTAGTAAGCAAACAATTAACTATGGCATCAGTCACTCGAACTTCAGACGCAAGTTAAGAGCAAAAATGTCCCTGTAGGAAATTTCAGAAATTTATTTAATAATTTCTAAATAATACAAGAGTAGAAACTTGAAAAGAAAATGAAATATTTTAAGAATTAGAAGTGTTTGGTACACGTTACCCAAAGCGATTTTCCATAATATAACTGGGTTTGGAACACCCTTGCGTATACGTAACCAAAATATTTTACTTGCAGAATTAAAGGCGATTTTATTACCGAATAATTTGGCTGTCTAGAACTTTTTGAGACACCGCTTGATATGAATTTCATTTGCGCATATCTTCAGGAGCAAAGCAATATGTTTTTTTTTAACAAAGTGTGTCTAAATAATTTGAAAAAAAAAATTTCACTAACAAACTATAAGGAAATCTAATAAAATTTTTTGGTATTTTTTTCTCAACTGCTTCAAACTAACACCTTGTCTTACACTGATAAGCACAACACAAGTTAGGTTTTGGTGCGAGCACAGTTTACATTTAACTTTTGTTATCCCCATGACCTTCGACCTTTGCAATGTGAACACAAAAGTCCATGAGAGAAGGAAAGCTAGCATTTGACAAAGCACTGGCGTGCATATGAGTGACCAACGAAGCAGACAGAAGTCAAACAATTACAACTATATTACTAACTACCTAAATAAATAATATGTGTACATATGACTATATGTATGTATGAGGCAAACTTCAGAATCACTGGACCGAACACAGTTGGAGTTTGTAATTTAACACGCAAATGAATATGTCACAACAAGGAAGTCAGCACCAACACCAACGCACCAACACGCTAGCGCACAAGGAAATGACAAATGATAATAAACACGTAACGGTACATTCTGTGTGGAAATTGAGGTTGAGTGAATGATTGCCTTAGTGATAAGGAAATAAAAGAGTGGAGTAAAAAAAAAATCGTATCGCAAAATTAAAAAGGAAGAAGAAGTCGAAATGACAGGCCAACTCAAAGAAAAACATAAAAAATTCAGTTGATAAATGAAATAATACTGCGGAAGCTAAAGGAAACGAAAAAAAAACTGGTTGAAAGCCACAATAAGGGAAAATTTCCACTCCCGCATTAGGTGAGGGGTAATCTAGACAAGGCTATAGAATTTGTACGCTTAAAAAAAAAATAAAACAAATATAAAAATAAGTAAAAAAAATTAGAATTAATAGGAAATTAAAAAAATTAAATTACTAAAAAAAGATACCAAATATCAAAGGGTATATAAAAATTTTAACTGAAAATTAATCTACTTATTATTGAATAAGTATGTGCTTAAAGAAAATTTTTTACTCCTCATTACTTCTCTCTACGTGTATGGAAAGTTGTATTTTTATAATAATGCAAACCCTAAAACGTGCTTCCACGTTCGGCATTTTTCTTTTCAACTCTACTACTCCAGGAACTAAACAACAATCAAGTGGACAGACCGATATGATAACAGGAAATGTTGGCGGAGGCATTTCCCTACCAACATCATTGAGCATGTAGTGATGAAAAGATAATGGTTGCCACACATTTCCCAACACACTTTAGCACATGCAAACAATAGAATAATACCAAAATCAAAGGCATACTTGCAGGCGCTCATTGTAGAAAGCATAAAAGTGCAGAGAATGCCTACTGTGAAAATAGTGAAAATGCTTTCTTTGTTTCCCTTCTGCCTCCTCATTGGTACTTAAGTAAGCAATTTTTAGTTTTGTTTTTGGAATGTTGTTTGTACCATATAAAGAGCTACACACATTATTATACCTACGAAGCTCATTGCCAACCGGAAGCCTACTATTCGAATGGTCATTTACATTTGTCGATTTCTCAATGAGCTACTCTAAGGTAGCTTCCGGACATTCACTACCATAAATCAGAGTAAAGCATAAAATATTTCTTTGTTGGTGTTAAAAGGATTATTTACAAAAGCACATTTTTTATGTATTTTATTTCTTTTTAATTTATTTTATTTTATTTTATTTTATTTTATTTTATATTATTTTATTTTATTTTATTTTATTCTTCTATTTTAATTTATTTTTCTCTTTTATTTTATTTTTAATTTTATTCTTCTATTCAATTATTTTTTTAATTTTATTTTAATTTATATTATTACACTACTCTTTTTAAGTTATTCTGTTTTATTTTATTTTATAGAACTTAACTGATTTTTTCTTATTTTTTCATTCATTTTATTTTATTTTATTTTGAATATATTATTCTATTTTATTTTATCTCAATTTATTTATTTTTTTCCTTTATTTGTTTTTATTTCTTTTTTTTTTAATTAATTTTTTTTTGTTTTTGCTTTGTTTCATTTTTCTTTTTCTATTTTATTTTATTTTATTTTCGATTTTTTTATTTTTTCTTTCTTATTTTGTTCTTCTCTTTTTTTTTAATTCTTACAAAATAATTATATTTTATTTTTCTTGTTTTATTTTTTGTTTTATTTTATTTATTTATTTATTTCAATTTTGTTTATTAATTTTTTTTTATATGTCTATTTTATTTTAATTTCATTTTTTTATTTATTTTTTTTTTAATGATTTTATTTTAATTTAATTATTTTACTTTATGTTATTTTATTTTATTCATTTTATTTTATTTTATTTTGTTTTATGTTATTTTTTTTTTTAAATTAATAAAATTTTTATGCAGATTTGAAAAATTTGAATGGCGAAAGTTGCCAACCAATGCGGATATTTCGTCGATATACATATATGTATGTCCTTGAAGTTGATGTAAAAATTACTACAGAACTATACACGCGCTTCCGCAAACTGCCGCCAGCGAAATTTCATCATACGAAGTCAATGTCAAAATATCGTTTTTCGTTTTTTTTTATTTTAAATAGCTTATTATGATATCAGCTTCCGAATAAAACAGTTTTTAATAGCCTCTTAACAAAAATGCCTACAGACATATTTACATCACAATGGATGGTTCTTCACAAAAGTCAAGGAAATCAGCGCTAGGGGAGCGTATTAAGCAAACATAAAAATATGAAAAATTCAAAAAGTATCAATAAACTTTAATTTTTATATAAAAGTTATTATTCCGTAAACGAAGGCTCTTCTTAAATATGATAAAAAAAGAAAAAAAAAACTCGTAAAATGATTACAGACAAAATCACTCATACGCCATGACTTGCTTCTCAGCTGCAAATGGAGTAACTGAGTGTCAAATAAAATTTAACTGCACACATACTTTGGCGTAAATCTGTTTTAGAAAACTGCCAACAAAGAAGAACTCAGATCTTTAACATTAATATATTTATATATATTTGTATATATTTATATTGTTTACAAATTTCAGCTACTTACCTCCGCACATTGCCCATATCACCGCGCTCCACTGCCAACAAAAATTTCTTCTCCTCCAACAGCAGCGGCTGCGGTAATCCCAATGGCAAGCAGCCTTTTCGCGCACCAGCTGGTAAGCCATGTGCTGGCACCTGTGCCATGCACACAAACAATATTGATATGTAGACAGCGATTTGAATTTCAAGTTGAAGTGACGGGGGCGGTGTGAAGGAAAAAAAATTAAGTTAGATTAGGTGCAAGAAATGGTGAACTTAAATCTTATTTGAAATTTTGCATATGCATAAACAATGAACACAGTAGTCATGCAAGCCGATAATATGAACGGCAAAAACTTGAAAAATACATACAAATGCGTAAATGGCTGGTTGTCGTAAACTGTGGAGCGTAAATTTGGCAAAAGCTACATTTTTTTCAACAAATATCGGCTTATCATAATGACACCTAGCATATTAAGAACTTTTGATGTTATGACAGCGGAAGAGTCAAACAATGAAAATGATTAGCATCTGAGGAAGGAATTTTTGAGAGTGGCGAAGAAATTTTATCCTGCTTATTTTATTTTATTTTATTTTATTTTATTTTATTTTATTTTATTTTATTTTATTTTATTTTATTTTATTTTATTTTATTTTATTTTATTTTATTTAATTTTATTTTATTTAATTTTTATTTTATTTTATTTTACTTTATATTATTGTATTTAGTTTTTATTTTATTTTATTTTATTTTTTCTAACTTTATTTTAATCTTTTAAAAACAAATTTTTTTGCTTTAATTTATTTTTAATTTTTTTCATTTTTATGTAAGGAAAATGACAAGTCTGTTTACTAAATATTTTCATATAAAAATGCTAAATACTTTTCGGATTCGTGGAAGGATGGAAGGATCTAGCCCAAAAAATTACTCAACTCATATAACTCAAATATATATAGATGTTTTCTTCTTATCTGACTTACACCCACAGGGATTGGTGTCCTTACACCCAAATTTGTTTGCGGATTCATTTTTCTTTATAGATTTGAGAACATTAAAGTTCTTTTTTGAATTCAAATATAGTTCTCAAGGTATTGTAATATTTTTTATATGTAGATCTCGAAATAATAATATTTAATTCAATTATTAAAATTATGACACCTTCCTAAAATCTGATAATTAGAATATTTTACAATAATCTGTTAGATAATATGCTATTATTATCTTAACTTCTTGGCATTAATAGTTATTTTACAAGATTTTCATTTATTTCTTTACTCATTCACTTTTTTTTTATTTATTTATGTACTAATATTTCGAATTCTTATTTGTTTATCTTGATATGTATTTAAGAAGTTATCAACGAAAGGGAACACTTCTCCTACCAGCTGAATGGCAGTGAAAATGGAACTGCCGAAGACGGTATATCTTAAATCCCAATCGATGATGGTAAAAGAGACGTTCCACTACCTGACTATGACAAGATTCGAATAGCGATTGGCTGCCGAAAAACAACAAACCGGCTGGATATGACGGCGTGTCGGCGGAGCTATTCAAACATGGCGATGAAGAGCTGACAATGTACATGCATCAGCTACTTTGCAGAATTTACCGTGGAATAAGCCGCCTTAATATTGCCTAAAAGGGCCTGTCGAGTGTATTGTGGGAAAGACTGAGGCCCAACATCAACACAATGCTTGGACCTGAGGGCAGTCAACTAATGACCAGATATTCACCACGCGCCAAATGTTAGAATAAACTCGTGAAGAGAGGATTGACTCAGAACATCTTCTAGTCGACTCTAAAGCAGCCTGCACAGCACGAAAACGGGTTGCCTCTATGTCGCTGTGTCTGAATTTGGCATCCCCGTAAAATGTATACGGCTATGCAAGCTGACGCTAGATAACACCAGAAGCGCAGTCAAAATTGGGAAGGACCTCCGCGAGCCGCTTGACACCAAACGAGGTTTCAGACAGGGTGACCCGTTGTCGTGTGATTTCTTTTATTTGATTCTGAAGCGAAAAATAAGAGCTGCAGAGCTAAATGGAGGAGGTACAGTCTTCTATAAGGATACGCAGCTACTGGTGTACGCCGATAATTTCGACATTATTGGCCTTAACAACCGCGCCGTTAGTTCTGCTTTCTCCAGGCCTGATAAAGAAGCGAAGCGAATGGGTCAAACAGTCACCACATTCACGACTTGGCTCCCACACCACTCTCGATAGTCATAACTTTGAGGTTGTAGAGAATTTCGTTTATCTACGGACCAACATTAACACCAACAAACAACTTTGTTGGACTGAGTACGCAACTGAGCAGTAAAGTCCTCTTTTGGCGAAAGAAATCCAAACTCTATAAGTCGTACATCAATCCAGTCCTGCTATATGGTGTGGAGGCACGAACCATGGCATCAACTGATAAGTCGGCTTTAGGAGATTTCGCGAGAAAGGTTTTACCTAAGGTATAAAGTTCTCTACGAGTTGGCGAATACCGATGTTGGAGCGATGAGCTGTACGAGCTAGACGCTGGCCAAACCACGTCGTCTGAATGGATGAAACCACTCCAGCTTTGAAAATATGCGATACAGTACCCGCTGGTGGGCGCAGAGAAAGGGCAATATCTCCACTCCGTTGGAAAAATCAGATGGAGAGCGGCTTGGTTTCACTTGGTATTTTCATTTCCAACTGTCGCCAGGCAGGGACGGGAACTAATGAATCCACATACTATTGTTGATTCACCTATTAACGAATAGGCGGTGCCTATGCCGACGGAAAAGTAGAAGAAATTTTTTATTATCAAATTTTAAAGTTTTTTATATCCATTCTTGATTTATAGACGATTTATTTAATTATTTATTTTTGTTTTTTATATATATAATATTTAAGTTCATAATTTTTTTTTCATTATTTATTTTACGATTTTTTGTTTCCTGCTATTAAATTTTATAATGTTTTAATGTTAATAATTTTTTTTTTGGTATTATGTTGCACTTATTATTTATTTATTTATATCGTTATTAATTTTTTATATTTTTAATGATTTTCATAAAGGTTTTTCATTAATTGTTGATATTTTGGTTTTTTTTTAATTTTAATATTAACTTTTATATATTTTTATTTCTACTTTCATTTGTTTTTTATATTTGCTTTATGTTTTCATTTGATTTTTTCGCTTTTTTGTAATTGCGCTTCTGTTTTTTTATTCACTTACATATACATATATATTTAATATTTTTTCATTTAAAAAATCTAACTTAGATAAGCCACCTACGGCAGCATAAATTAAAAGAGTTCCCTAAGCCCCAACAACTACAATTCTATTATCTACCTAATTCCTTATGTCCTTTATGAATTCCAAAAAAGCATATTTCAAAAAAACTTTACGCAATCATAATCCATTTCTCTATAAGAGGATAAGCAAAAATTTATATCCTTCCACGCTTTGCTCACATGCAAAACTATTTTCGCATAATCAAAACGCTACAAAGTGCGCTTAACAGTTATCAACTTTTAAACCATTTCTGGCGCATTCAACATGTTTATGAGAGGCCACTCTGTGAGAGTGTGTTAGTAAAAATATGGGAGAATGTAAAATTCCGCCAAATATTACTTCACTCCATACATATAAGTGTGTATGTGTTTGTGTGTGAAAGCAACGTTGTCACACCTTAAATACCAAAACGGAAATATTTAAATATAAAATATGTCAACGCAAAAAGAAACTCAGCAAAAGCATTTCATGGCCAAACTGTTAACCCACCTGCCGTGGTGGGTATCCACTGGTGGGCTGAGCTACTATCAAAGCACTCTCTGCACTCATGCGAGCTGAACGCCAACACACCCACACTGCTTGTATGTATACGCCAAATATACAGTTAACTGAGTGAAATTGCACCATCGGGAATTTGGAAAACAAAAGTTGTTGCCATAAAGAAAAATAAAAAAAAAATATGAAGTTTCAGCGAAAAGCAGGATGATGGCGCAATTTTTTGCATAGTTATTGGAAGAAGAAATTATTTAAATAAAATACGCAAACACAAAGAGCGATATATAATTTTGCAGCAACAATGCGGGTTGTAAATACTGATTTTCATTTGTTTACTGCTGCGGAAGGAGTACAGGGTATATGATTCCCTGAGGGGCACTTATTATAAACTAATTTACGCAGTTGAACTTTAAAATTTTGTTATAAATAATAGATAAATGCTTACATTTCTAACCTCCATTGGCTACAGTCGGCATAATTATGTTTTAATTAGATGCCAAATATTAATAAAAGTTCTTTTTCTATTCCTTTTGTTTAGTTTATTCTTTGTCTCACATTTCTAAGTATAATATGGAAGGGGAAAAATGCGCAGAATTAATCATTTAACAACGCTCAGGAGGATTTCCTACACTCTTTTTACTATCAAAAAGAGCTCTCCTCTATGCTGACCCTGAGCGCTCGCTGCTGTCAATCGACTTCAGTTCCCAGTGAGAAGTCTCTTACATGGACTGAAAGCGAGGAGCTGCAAGTAGTAGGTTCAGTTTCAGTACAGTGAGTGAGGCGGTTCTTTAATCTTTTACCACAAATTTATTTGCCGTGTTAGCCTTGTGAGCTGCTGCGTTGTTATAATCCGAAAGGCATACATTTTCTTTTAACATTTCGTATTTGTATCGATGAATTTTGGAATCTATATTGTTCCTCAAACCCAACTTCATTCAACCCTCGCTTTCTAGGTCCAAATACATGACTCAATGTAATTCTCAGCACTGTGCAGTTAAACTGTAGAGCGAGCCGTAGCTGGGACTAGGAGCATACTAAGTCGTAAGGGAGATTTGTTATTGTTGCGGTTATAGTAACCGCAAAAGTATTTTCAAACTTAGTTTTTGTCGGTGACAGTTCTGGACTGAAGTACCGCGTGTAGATTATTGAACTAATAGGGTTTCTTTTGATGGAACGATTGAAACCCGCCCGTCATGTAGTTCAGGTTAGGTTTTGTTGCGCTGGCTACTGATCTGTCAGACCAGATTCACTTAAGTCTGACTTAGACCCATTGTGATACCACAAAAACTTAAACCATCAAGCTTCATTATCCTGTCATTTTGATTCTCTAACCCTAGATAGTGGCGGCTGCATTGCGCGAAAACGGAATTGGAGCACACTTATGATGTAGTTGCATACGCTGATGTTGTCACTCTCACTAAAATTGGCAGCACAAACAGAACTTTTTCAGAAACGGCTTTTATATAAGAGGCCACTGGTGCAGAGATTACAAAAACTACCCAAAGTTACTTCCAGTAGCAAGCTGGATAAAGTTTAGTGAAAAATTCCATACCCATTACAGCATCGCTACCTACAATTTCCACTAGAAGCCTTAAAACTATTCTTAAATTTTCTATCGTTAGGTGTGTATAACAAGCTAACTTCATACCACTTACAAAGCGACTCAGCGATGAAAAAGTGCTCTACGGTTTACACTCAAATATTAAGCTCTACATCGTTCTTGGAAGAGATGGGCTACACTAACTAAGATTTTAAACACAAATATCGATGAAAGAAGAATAAAAAAATGCCATAAATTTGGAAAAAACAAGCCGTAGCTATCTCCATCGACGACTCAGAACGCAGCGTTAGGATGGGCTGATGGAAACCGGCAATTGAAAAATAGGGTAGGCTTGTAATGACTATTGCTGAGTTATAGCTAGGCAGTATCTCTGGTCCTACGCAGAGTTTAAATTAGACCAACATCATTTTTGCCGAATCTTACTTTTGCAAGACTTGCTTGAGTATATGGCAGTAATCCTCTGAATTTTAGCAATCAGAAAGTGGAGGGAAACATATTTTCACCTGTCAACGATCTAAGTTCTCCTGAGTAGGCTTTTACTATCAGGCCAATCCAAAAGCTAGCTCACTGCTACTTGATTTGTACTCATATTGGCTTAGCTTATCAGGAATTGAAGCTGAACGACCATCAAGTGTTTTGCGCGTCGCAGGTTCCTTGAATGGGTCCAAAAGTATATGAACACATATTTTAAGTTTCACAGGAAAATTTTGTTCAGCGATGAAGCTGACTTTTGTCTGGAGGGGTACATTTAAAAAAAAACCATGGTTGATATGATTATACATCTTCAAAAGTCACTGTTTTTGTTTTTGCTCTGTGGTCTGAAAATGAAAGCGTTCATAATGTTGTGGTCAATGGGGAACCCTCTAGAGCCAAAATCAATGACTTTTTTTTGGGGCAAAATGGAAGGATATTGCTATGGATTACCTTTGGTTCCAACAAGATGGCCTTGCCCACTTATAGAAGAAAGCTTTGGATAAGCGGCTTATCTCGCAACGTGTACCTGTGGTGTGGCCTTCGAGATGATGAAGTTTAACACCACTGGAGTTTTAATTGTGAGTTTATTAAAAGTCGCTTTTCTATGCAGTTAAGCCCAGGAAGATTGATGCCTTCGAAGCGAATATTCGTCACGCTATACTTGGCATGCAGTCACAATTGCTGCAAAAAGTGAACGAAAATTGGATTTTTTGGTTGGAGTTTATACGAGCTCGAAATCATCATAAATGGCAAAGCCTTCTTTTTAAAATAAAACTAAATTTTTGGTCGTAATATTTCACTATTTGCGTTTTATTTCCCTTTTTCATGTCTAAAAAACACCCTTTATAAATACTGTAAAATGAAAATATTTTTTCCTCTTCAGCAGTAATCTTATTGAGGTATTTACACCAAAAAAAACAATTGTGCAACTATTAAAGTTTTGCAATCTAATAGCTTGTATATTTATGCGCTTAAAAAAAAGTTATTTTCATTTTATTTAAATTTATTTATTTATTAATTTTTTTTTATTTATTTACTTAATACTTTAATTTTATTTTAGCTTTATTTTCATTACATTTTTATCACTCTCTTTCGCATTGTTTTTATACGTTTCTACCACTTAAGCAACATTTCAGCATTTGGTGCGCCTAGTTGTATGCTATAATTTTTTTTTTACGCAGTCACCAACAAACGCAAATATGTAAATTTTTATTTAGTTATTTATAAACTATAAAAGTGGCTTAGTTATAAATGATAACAGCGTGTAAACGTATTTTATTTACTCACTGAAAATTGTTCAACTTAGTACGAGTGAATAAAAGCAAAGGAAAACAAAAAAAAAATTCTATAAATAAAGTTTTTTATTTACAACAGAAAATGGTGTATGAGAGAGCTTTTATAAACATATTTGCAAACTGGCTTTATTGGCCATTTATCGTTGGCTATTGTTGGTCGCAATTTTATGCAGTTTTTCGCAGCTTAAAGTTGCTACAGATTTCATTTGCTGTTTTCATTTTTAATGAAACATTTTATTTTTTATTTATTTTTGTTTGTTTATTAGTTTGTAGAATACCATATTTTTGGCTGGGATTTAATTTTTAATACTATTTATTGCACGTAGATTTTTTTTTTGTATTTTCATGCCAACAAAAATGATAGAAATTATTTTATATTTATTTGCCAATTGATGTTGTGCGAAATGAAAACGAGGAAAAAATGTGCAAAAACTCTTAAGAGATTTTATATCTACATTTTTTAGTATAAAATTTTTTTCCCTTATTTTTAATACATTTAAGAATTATAAAAGAATTTAAATTTAAATTGAAGTTTAAAAATAAAAAGGATTAAACAAGAGTTAATTTGCGAAAAAGAACCGAGATAATCCAATTATACACCACATACATTGAAAGCACATTTAAAGCTGTTTTAGTCATCTTCAGCAGTTAATTAATCTATTGCACTTAAACAACGCTCACCTGTTGCATTCTGGAGCAAACAAAAGCTTGCAATTTTTCTAAACGTTCTGGCACGATTTTCATTTTTAGTTTGCTGTTGCATGCGTTTTGTGAATTATGTTAAAAATCAAGAAAATTCTTATACACAAAAAGAAAAAAAATGGTGAAAATGCTTTAAAAATCATTAAGGTTTAAAAAAATTTTTTTTTTTTAAATTCAAACACAAATTTTCTAAACTTCAAAAAATATTTAATTGGCTTCCTTTCTGTTTTTATTTTAATAAAAGCCAATTAAATAAATCTCTAAGAGCCTTAATTTTTTGATTATTTTCCTAATATTTTTGTTTTATTTGAAGCAATTTCGGGCGGAATTACACACTAAAAACATTTTAAATAAATACTAAATTTAAAAAAAATATTTTTATAGTACGTTAAATTCATTGATGAATTGGAGTACGTCTATATCTATTTTAAGAGCACGAAACTTTTTATTTTTAACCTTCTAAGTAAAAGGTTATCCATTATATTTGCAATAGAGGGATTTAGTGATCTAAATCTCACGTTATATAGTTAACTTTGGTAGGAAAGATGCTCCACGATGTGACAGGCCAATTTACGGAAATGTTGATCAAATAACAGAAATCATTGAATCTGACCGCCAAGAGAGCACAGTTCCGCTTGAGCAAGGAGCTAAACTTAAAAATGGCTGCACACACAAAGAAGCTCAATGTATGGGTGCCACGTGAGTTAAAGAGAGAAAAAACTCTCATAAACCGATATTTTATCAGCAAAGAGCTGCTGAAAAAAATAATGGTACAATTTTGAAGCGAATGCTGACTGGTGTTAAGGTGATGAAAACTTTCAAACGATCTCCCTGTCCAGGAATGTTTAGTTGCATTGGCAAGAAATCATACACCACGAGCTGCGCCGCTGTGATCAAGCCTTTACTTAGGGCCTGCACGGTCAGCACTAGGGTAGTCTAAAGGAAGCTATCGACCAGAAACGATCAGTTTTGGCCCACAAAAAGAAAATTGTGTTTCATCCGGACGACGGCGAACATCATTATTTTATGTTTTATAATGCACATTTTTCTAAAGAAATAAAAATTCGTTTTTTCGGTAATAAAACGTTTGTAAAAATTTTAAAAATAAAAACTTGTTATAAAATTAAATATTATTTTGAAATCATATAAGGTTTTTAATTGAAATAAAGTCAAGTTGTTTTCATATTTTTATTAACACATTTTAGAAGTTTGGAAAAATTTTCATTTTTTTTTTTTTTTTTTTTTTTTTGTAGGTAAAACTTTTTCTCTGAATAACTTGACTTTTTAGCGAAGAAATCACTCTTTTATTAACTGAAATAAGTATTTTTTTACTGTTTTATTGTTTATTTTTTTCTGTTGCTGTATTTATACATAAAAAACTTTTGGCTTCGCAAAACCTATTTTCTGTGAATTCTCTGCTTAACTTTATAAAATATTAAGCTTCCTGCGGAATCAACACTGAGTTTATATTTTTTTTTGCATATTTTTTTAAAACGAACACAATATTGTACACATATGTTTTATTTATTTTATTTCTATGTTTCTATTTTTATTTTTATCTTTATATCTTTATTGAATTCTTATTATAAAGCCTTTATGTTCAAATTATTTATTTTTTAATTTTTCTTTGTTTTTCAATACTTTTTTTTGCTGGTTTACTACTGTAGTTCATGCATCTATTACCCTTGCAAACTTATAGGTATTCTTATGTGTTTATATTACACTTTTTATTGTAATATAATTTTAATTTATTATTTTAGTTTATTTAATTTTATTTTATTTTATATAATTTTATTTTATTTTATTTTATTATGTTTTAAATTATTTTATTTTATTTCATTGTATTTTATTTTATTTTATTTTATTTTATTTTATTTTATTTTATTTTATTTTTTTTAATTTAATTTTATTTTATTTATGTTGTTTCATTTTATTTATGTTGTCTTATATTTTTTTATTTTATTTTTTTTATATTATTTTACCTTAGTTTATTTTTTTTATTTTCTTATATTTCAAATTTCCTCACTCATTTTTCATGATTTAATAAATTTAAATTTACAATATTTAATTATTAACTTTGTTGTTTATTTTTTGTATGAACTCTTAACACTTTTTTTTATATCCTTGATGTACAAACTTCTTCAACACTCCCGCCACGCGCACGCAAAACAGCTACAACAACAACACCAAACTAAGCGATACTTCCGCGAGAATAATAGCGACCGTTTTGTGACAGCGTTTTTCGTTATCCGGTTTATGCGTACACGCTGCCGAAGTATTGCGCGATAAGCGCTTAACGGTTTAGTGTGCACAAATTATTCCACGAAAATTGTCTACACCAAAAGAAGCGATTAAAATTATCCTTATTTTTGTTAATATTTGCTCCCAGCACTTGACAGCTACGGACAGCTGTTTAGGCGAAATTGTCGCTGCGTTTTGAAAGCACTCACCATGGGGTGCTGAAATTTATATAGCCACTACAACAATAAAAATATGATGACAGATGTGTGGGCCTAATTTAATTAGGCTAAAACACGTTAAATATTTGTTGCAGTATATATATAGGTTTTCTGGAAAGTGGAATAAAATATATTTGCGTGTATGGGTGTGTATGTGCTTAGGCTTATGTATTTCCTATGATGAAATGAACGGCAAAAATAATTATCAATAGCTCAACGTTCAATTGTCAACAAGCCAATGAGAAAAAAAAAACACTAGAAAAGTGGCGGAAAGTCGACGTTGTGTGTTTGCTTGTTTGCTACCTTATTCTAAGTATTTGTGTTTTTAAGTTCTCATCCAGCCATCGTAACACAACTAGTAGTAGCGCTCGCTCACATTTTGCCACACAGCTTAATTATTGTAGTCGCATTTTAGGCGCCAAGCGCCTCACATCTAACTTATTTCACGAAAGCTGTCAACAAGTGTTTTTCTTATCCCTTTTACATAGAAATTTTTATTTAGCGAAAATTTGCTGTGAAGATCTTATAACGTTCAAATAAATTTAAAGGTTAAGAGCAAGGTATATATTGTTTAACTAGTAATTTTTTTTTGTGATATTTCTAAAAAAAAATTTAGTTTAAGTTGCGAACTTTTTACTTTTATTAATTTTTTTTATAATTATGTGTTGAAGGTATATTTTTTTTTCGTGGGCCCTTTACGCCAATTTCACGCGTACAAAAATAAATGTAGTTGCTACAAATATATATATATATATATATATACATATATATTTCTACTAATTGCATTGTCTTTACGTCAATAATTGTTATGATACTTAGTCATGTTATTCTTTAACTTGTATTCATTTTCCATAGTTATTTCACTAACAAGAAGGAAAGGAAAGCAAATAAATCCTATGGAAAAAATTAAAATAATTGGTCACTGTTAGAATTTCATTAAGTAGCCTGAAAATCATTAAATATAATAAGATATGTTTAAATTTATTTTAAATAATTTAAATTTTTTTTATTTGATATTATTTTCTTTTATTGTAATTTATTTAAATATACTTTCCTTTGTTTAATTTTTTAATGATATTATTTTATTATTATTGTTTTACTTTATATATTTTCATATTAGTTTATTTTATTTTATTTTATTTTATTTTATTTTATTTTATTTTATTTTATTTTATTTTATTTTATTTTATTTTATTTTATTTTATTTTATTTTATTTTAATTTTATTTTATTTTATTTTATTTTATTTTATTTTATTTTATTTTATCTTATTTTATATTTTTTTTTCCTTTTTTTTAATAATTTTATATTAGACTATTTAGTTTATTCTTCAATATTTTTCAATTTTTACTATAATTACTTTGTATTTGTTTCCTTTTCTGCTTAATTTCGTAGAATGTTAATGAACAATGTTATCAAAAACATTGTTGCCAAGTTAAATATTTTAGAATTTTTTATTTTTTGCTATTGTAATTGCAGTGAACTTATATAAACACACGCACACACCTTGCTAAAGTTTAATTCAAATTCTTGTTTTCTCAACCGTAAGCTTTCATTGCAAAATTTAATTTCCTCCAGACGATTTCATTGTTATTTTAATCAACTTTTGTTTGCAATAAATATTCTACGAATGCTAATGCAAATATCTTAATATTTTTGAGTAATGCACAAATTAAATTTGAAATTAAAGTAAACACACACACACAAACATTTGAGCAAGTAAGCAAATAATCACCAGCCACAACAGCTCTGCTTAATGTTAATGGATTATCGTGATTAAATTTGCACTCAACCACAAAGTTAGTTTAAATACTGGAAAGTTTATTGTTTTCTAAGCATCAGAAGTTCGAAGTGACCAGAATTAGGCTTGTGAGTGTGTTTAACTGCCTTAAAATTCAAAATCTGTTCAATTAATGTGTTAATTTCTAAAATCGTTATTTATCGGTTTGTTTCGATTTTTTAAAATATATATTAAGCAACGTCAAACCTTTTTTATTACCAAAATCATATATTCAGTCTATTTATTACAACACTTTTTCTCGATTGAAAAATTCAACTTTTGTAACCCTGTAACTTTGAAATTTGCTGCCAATCAAATAGTTTCGATTTTATTTAATTTCAATATTGGTATGAAATTTTTATGTTAAGAAATAATTTATGTTTAGCAATATTTTATGTTATAACATTTAAAGCATTACTTAAATTTTTGTAAAATTTATATTTGTTGCCCACCTCTTATCTGGAATATGTTAATGGTACAAATATTTTAAAGTTTTATGAAATTTTTTGTTAAGAAATAATTTAGGCTTAATATTTTGTGATATAACTTTTAAGTAATAGATAATGGAATTGTCTAGAAGTTATTGATGATAAATATAATTTATGGGATAACACCTTTAGCGGTAGGTAAATTTTAAAAAAAAATATATATTTTTTATTATTTCATATCGTATGAGTTTATGTTTAGCCATATTTTATGTCATGACATTTTAAGCAGCTCTCAATATTTTTAATGGTAATGTTTATAACGTTCTAGTGTTTTAAGTTTGTGTTAAGAAATATTTTATATTTTGCAAAATTTTATGTTATGAAATTCAAAACTATATTTCAACTTTTTAAGATTTTAGAAGACTTTTTTGATGGTTTATTTTAATGGACATTTGAAAACGTTCGCTCAATTAAACTATTGGACCAAAAGTTTTTTATGTTCGAAAATTATGTCTGAAAAGATTTTATGTTAGTATACTTTTTTTTATTTTGCGACAATTCAATCAGTTAAGATATATCGCATTTTTTCTTTTTGGTGAGCCCTTATGCAGTTTATTTTTAGCCATATCTTGGGCAGTTGCTCAAACTTTAAGGAAATACAAATATTTTCTTTAAACTCTGTTGTCACATTTGGCAAGTATTCCTTGATTTTTTTCTTTTTTTATTTGAAATTTCATGTTTTGAAATTTTATGTATTATTATTTAATATTATTCAAGTTTTCTAAAAAGAAATTTAATGTATTTTTGTTTGGCGATAATTAATGTCTAGCCATATTTATGGTTGGCAATATTTTATGGTTGGCAATATTTTATGGTTAACCATATTTCATGTCCAATGGTCTTTGACATCTAGATCAAACTATTTTAATATTTAAAAAATAATGTCAAAATGTATTTGCATAAATTCTTCCAATTTCACTTGGCAACCAATAATGTGAGATTTCTAAAGTGCTTTCACTGTCGTAAATAAATTTATGCACTTTTTTGCTGAATTCGGGTTTCATTTATTTTTCCCTAAAGTGCATATTTTCTTATACTCCTAATAAATCTGCAATATTTCGCTTATGACTGAATGAAATGTTGCACACAGAAGAAATTTTTATTTTATTTTTCCAAAAGAAGAGAGGAAATAAAAAAGCTGAGTGCTAACCATCCGCCATACTTGCAACATGCAGCACTCAAAATATAGATATAAGAATAAGAAGAAGCATCGATGGCAAATCACTGTACGCAGTTGTGACGAAATAAAATATGTTGCATTTTGCTGAAGAAGCACAAAGATGAAGGACGAGATGTTATCAAGCTGATGCCATATAAAAATGTCATAACATATACTCACATGTCCATTTATGTGCGTTGGCTTATGTGTGTTGGTGTATATGTGTGAGCACTTATGTGGCTGGCTCCCTTAAAACTTACCACAACGTTTATATTATTTTAAAATAGCTCATGAGCACATATACTAGTACACATGTATAAGTCAGTTATAACAACAACATCAACAACAACAAAACAAATTTAATATAACAAAATAGAGGAGCCACTTAAGTAAGCGCTTCTTACCAAAGAATGCATGGACTCGCTAAGAAAATATTAGTAATGTTAGTTGACTGTTGGCTGTTAGCTTTTCAGCTTATAAACATAACAATAACAATAGAAATAACAGTAAAGTGGGAAGAATGCACACAATAATAGCAACAACAAGTCATGTATTGCAATATAACCATATAGACGAGACTTGGAATGGAGCAAATGCGCTGGGTAGCAGTAAGTGGAAGCGGCAAATGCATAGAAGCTGCTGAGTGGAAGCGCTTAGCTGCAACTAACTGAGCTTAGAAATATTTTTCAGAAATCCACAATAACTAAAGTCAGCTCAGCCGGGTTCAGTACAGCGTGCCGAGTAAAGTCAAAGTCGTAGAAACCATAACAAAGTAATCCAATGCTAATACGAGGTTAAGATGCAAGTTTAATATTACCACACACTCACTCATACAAGCACACACTCTCTTACACACACTGAAACACATTCATATATGCATTATATACATACATTTGTATATGAATTTGTCGAATATACCAAGCGGATTCACCGTAGTAGTTGTAGCAAGATTGAGCCACCACTGCACTTGCGGCTCCATTGAAGCAACTGCACTTTGGGGCAGTTGACTGATTTATTGATGTTATTACTGCTACGGGGGGAGGTAAGTGGGTTTATTATATGGCTCTCTGCGCTGTGCATAAGAGATAATGCAAAATATAGTGACTCGTAAAAATGGTATGAAGTAGGGAATGCAGTGGGAAGTAGGGAATTTACAAAAAAAAAAATGCGAAAAATAAAATTTATTTAATAGAAACACAAAAAATTAATAAAATTATATATAAAAAATAGATAATCTAACAAATTATAAATGGAATTAAATAAAATAAAATGAAACAAAATAAATTTAAATATAAAAGAAATTATACTAAAAAATAAAAAAAATAAAAAAATAACATAAACAAGTTTAGCTTATAAAATGAAACAAAATGAAATTTACCAAAAAAAAATTAAATAAAAATAAAGCAAAACATTTATTTTTTGTTAAGTTATAAGTTAGAGAGCTAAGGACTTCAAGCCCTTCTTCCTTTGAACTAAAAGCATTAGAGCGGATCATGGTTAACTATCTCTCTCATACCATTGATAGGTGGCTTAAATCAAATAATCAGCACGCCTCTCAAAAGGGAAAATCGACAGTAACTGCACAACATGGACTAATTACCTTCATTGAAAATCTTCTCTAGAACAAGAAATTTTGTTTTGTTGCCTTCCTCGATATAGTAGCGACTTTCAATAACATCTTACCAAGCGTAGTTACAGCGGCATTGTTAAGTTTAGATGTCGACACTCCATTAGTGGATTCAACTGCTACTGAGCAGGATTATAAGCGCGAACCTGGAAAAATTCCAGATATATAAACAGAGGCACTCCGCAGGGTGGAGTTCGCTCCCCATTGCTCTGGAAACTCACAGTAGAGTCGCTACTAACGCAAACAGTATGGGGTGGAGACAAAGTAATTGCCTACGCCGGTGACATCGCCAGTCTCATACTGGACTACCAAATCTGGCCTCTGTGTCAACTCAAACAAGGTGGAACTTGTATTAAGATATAAGATCCCTGCTACCAACCCAGCAGTATCTGGAAAAAGAATATTATTCAAAGACAAGAAAAGGCTGCTACGGCCCTCTATATATGCAAAAGAGCAATAGGTTAGAAATGGAGACTAAATCAGATCTATATCTCAGTAGTAAGACTAACGCTCCTTTACTCTACAAGCGTAG